TTCCCCTTTATATTTTATAACCTTCAATGAGATTCCCCTTTATATTTTATAACCTTCAATGAGATTCCCCTTTATATTTTATAACCTTCAATGAGATTCCCCCTTTAAATTTTATAACCTTCCCAGAAACCAAAGTTCATCGAACTCCTAATCTGTGCCAATTTCATCAATGTAACAGATGAACGTATTTACTGTAGCCTTTATTTTATTTTATTAATTCTACAAATATTACACGTAACATGGTTCTCAATATACTTCAAGTTTGGAGTAGTCGTTGGTTGCTAGGTCACAATATCATACTTAGGAAACGAGCGAGTTCACTCATAAAATTACATCTGGATACCTTCAGCAACGAACGGTTTTGTGGGTCAAATCTTTACCGGTTGACTGGACTTATTCTCAAGACATTTTTATCAAAGTGACTTGTATAAATATGAAGACACGCACGTACTACGCATGTTTTCTCGGGGAGAAGGAAGATTTAATAACTCGTGATGTTGAACTCTTTCATTTAAATTACCGCTAAGACTGAGTGGATTTTCATTGAGAAGTAAAAATCAGTGGCGCATTTTAACTACTAGTACTAATCTGTAAAATATATTTTAATTCTACAAAAGGACAAATAAAGCTTTTAGTTTGTTTTAGCTACAGATGAATCAAAGAATCGACGACATACACTTATGGAAAACAATAGCCTTATTCTCTCTTCAAAGTAACCCATTTGTCATAAGAAAATAAAACATTTTTTTATTTATAAACTTATTCAGTAATCTCATAAATATGCAACACCTGTTTCTTAACAAGTTTTGGATGAATCAATGGCACACTGGAACAAGTATCAACCAAAGCTTGACCACTGTCCTCTACCATTTAAGTCAGGTAAAAGCTTTTCCCATACAAGAGTAAAACACCAAAAGGCCTAAGAGCTTGTCATCCATCACCTTTCTACGATGAAGGAATATATACAAACAAGCATGCTGTATAGAATAACAAAACCTTGTACAAGTCTCCAGAGAAGCGTCATTTAAGTTAGTGCTTGTATTTTGTTCTCTCCTTCAGGACAGAATCAGCATGCTGGATAGCGTCAAGAACTAGTATCTGGTATATAAGTTACAGAAAGGCTCAAGAACTTGAAATTGTTTTGTTTGAAGCACATAAAAGTATAGAGGGAGCTTGATATCAGAGTAAACATTTTGACACCAAGGGGAGCTATTTTCTGATTCAGGTTGTGTCTCTTTATGGATCTTTGTTTCCCATTCTTTAAGTAACCAAGACAGTGATAAAAACAGGTTCCATTCAGATTGTTTATGTTTTTGTTTTACTTAAAGATTACTTTGGTTACTGGGTAAGAAAGGAATTGAAATATAGAGGTGTACACTTACACACTTGGTTCTAAGGAAGTGACACCTCGTACTCTAAAACATAAGCACATAAATTTCTTGGTTCAGTGTATACAATTCAGAATATGTATATAAATATAATGCTTTGGTCTCGATCTCATTACAAAAAACTATATTAACATACTGGAAATAGTGCAGACAGACTTATACAACATTACTTGTTTCAAGAACTTGAATTACCAAAGAATCTTCAAGTTTGAACATGTTTCCGAGGAGGACAAATAAATTAGGAAAGCCCTATTTCAGCTGTTATATAAATTAAAGAACCCCTATTTCAGCTGTTATATAAATTAAAGAACCCCTATTTTAGCTGTTATATAAATTAAAGAACCCCTATTTTAGCTGTTATATAAATTAGGGAACCCCTATTTTAGCTATTATATAAATTAGGGAACCCCTATTTTAGCTGTTATATAAATTAAAGAACTCCTATTTTAGCTGTTATATGAATTAAATAACTAATTTATATAACAGCTAAAATAGGGGTTCTCTAATTTATATAACAGCTAAAATAGGGGTTCTCTAATTTATATAACAGCTAAAATAAGGGTTCTCTAATTTATATAACAGCTAAAATAGGGGTTCTCTAATTTATATAACAGCTAAAATAGGGGGATCTAGCTAGTCAGTCTAAATGTGACGTAGTGGTCTAGCTAGTCAGTCTAAATGTGACGTAGAGTGGTCTAGCTAGTCAGTCTAAATGTGACGTAGAGTGGTCTAGCTAGTCAGTTTAAATGTGACGTAGAGTGGTCTAGCTAGTCAGTCTAAATGTGACGTAGAGTGGTCTAGCTAGTCAGTCTAAATGTGGCGCACTGTGGTCTAGCTAGTCAGTATAAATGTGACGTAGTGTGGTCCAGCTAGTCAGTCTAAATTTTATTTAATATTACACACATTAATGCTTCTCTCTGTTTAGTTATTAAAATACATGTTTACCGGTATTTCAACCTTCAAGTTAAATGACTGATGTAATCATAATTGAGTTAATGAATCCCGAAAAGGGAAGTTTTAAAAATTACTCTGTGTTCGTTGATGTATCATTGGAAGATAAATTTTGTAAAATTACTATTCTTTCTATTAGATATGGGTGGGTCTGTTTTCAAAGCCTTGTTATTTATAAATCTCTGAGTTGGATATCCAAGTATTGTTCCTCTGAGATGTGTCCACATTTCCTGATAATGCTAAGATGATACCAGAACAAAGTTAGTTAACAGTGTTTTTTTTTCTTTCACGAGGATATAGATGGTTACAGGTTTTGAAATTCTTTAATATTGATAAGTATAAGGTACTTAGCCGAGATATGGGGGCAAGAAGACATGAATTAGGTTCACAAGAAAATCAAGATCAAACCTCACCTACAATAACAGTTGGTCAAATGTTAGCAAGGATAGAATAGGTCAGTGTTCCGACTTCCAGTGGTTAAACATGTATGATGTAACCCTTAATATTGAATTTGTCATTTTCTAACCCTTCATTCCGTCATTCAAACAGGGAAGTTTTAAATCACTAATGACTTTCAACAGCTAAAATAGGGGTTCCACACTATGTAACATTGAGACTGACTAGCTAGACCACACTACGTAACATTTAGACTGACTAGCTAGACCACACTACGTAACATTGAGACTGACTAGCTAGACCACACTACGTAACATTTAGACTGACTAGCTAGACCACATTATCATGTGCTACATCATACTGTTATACATACTAATCAAACTATTGATATTAGCATAGCTTAGCTCCTCCTTTTGTGATTGTTTTGTTGTTAAAAGCTACAAGTTAACTGTACTCGTCATTGTTTTGTTGTTAAAAGCTACAAGTTAACTGTACTCGTCATTGTTTTGTTGTTAAAAGCTACAAGTTAACTGTACTCGTCATTGTTTTGTTGTTAAAAGCTACAAGTTAACTGTACTCGTCATTGTTGTGTTGTTAAAAGCTACAAGTTAACTGTACTCGTCATTGTTTTGTTGTTAAAAGCTACAAGTTAACTGTACTCGTCATTGTTTTGTTAAAAGCTACAAGTTACTGCACTCGTCAATGGAATCAAACATCAGATTTGATTATTATAAGCCTGCAACCTTACTGTTCAGCCACCAGGGGGCACTAGTATTTATTATTAAGCATAATGCTACAAAATGGGCTACCTTCCTCTGTCCACCACAGGGCTCAAGTTTTGGATTTTAGCATTATAAACGTAAAAGCTAATTTACTCCTGAGCCACAGGGAGGGGTATGACGGTCCTTACAGATTATAACCATTCAGTTGGGAGGAAAGCAGAGAAAGGCAACAATAATTTATTCAGGTTTGAGAAATTATGTTTCTCGAAACATTGCCAATTCTCTCTCTCTGCCAGACTAGAGGCCAAGTATTTAAAATAAGTTGGAATTTAAATAGGCTGTAATGATGAGTTCTTAGATGTTAGAAGAAATAAGTAAGCTTTCAGTGAGTACAGATTTAGGCTTACCATCTCTCTCACCTTGGAGTTACGTATCTTGTAATGCACGTGATAGTTACGTGCTTAAAAATTAGTGAAAACTTTGAAAAGAAAATTCTAAGATTAAAAATAGGAAAGAAAAAAAAAACTTCTTCGTGGAAACATTTCTAGAAAGAAAAGTAAACAACTACAATTAGCTTGTTTTATTTATAAATAATGGTGATTTGGACAGTTAGGTGACGTTAAAACAAACGTATTCAAGAAAGTACCTACTCCTACACAAACACAAGAAATGTAACAGAAGTTCACTCATCACAAACACAAATACAATTTATGAACACTCCTATGTATCTATCCAAGGTGTTGAAATAATGCTAACAATAAATATTATACAGCCATTTCACAGCTGTTATACATAACTTATTTTGTTATCAAAGTAATAATAATAATAATAACTTATCGTTTTTATAATTCACATTCCGACTTCCAGCATAGGCTGATAACTCAAGCATCTAACAAAACCCTAACACAAATTTAGTCATCATTGAATTGTTTTAGTAGCCTGGTTTTTCTAAATCCTTCTCGTGGTAGTAGGTTGAACACTGTCCACAGTGCTCCATGTACAAATCACAGAAGTTATGACTACTGTAGGCGTAGCTATATTCACAAAAGCTAAACAATCACGCGGGGACTTCAGTTTTGTTTATCATACCTAAATCCTGGTTTGTTTGGTCTTTTAGTTTTACAGATAACAATCTAATGTCCTTTCCCCACGTGCATGTGGAAACTGGTCATTCCATATTGTAGCCCACTCACGTGTGATAAACTAAGTAATATTTTTATCATGTGATCTTACACGTCCTTCGGTTACTTAAAAAAACCGACAAATATTTTGAGAATATCCACAGGTAAAACACTTTAGAAGTTCAGGATTTAAACAGAAAAAAGAAATTGAAAATACATGTTTGTTACGAGACACGAATTTCAAATCGATTTAAAAAATATATATATTCATTACTTTAGAAAATTGTTTGTAAAGTGTATAAGTTTATATTATTAGGGTTTAATAATCAAGTTCGTTTGTTAGTATTGCCATCAAAAAATGTAAGATGGCTACTTAATATACAGCATACGTTAAGCCTTAAGGTACTCACGAGACGACGTACCTAGTAGTAGTACCAGTAGGCACCGGCAAGCTCGTTGAAGCCCTTTCCAGAGTCTTCTTACACAGTTCTTCTGTATTCTCCACAATCTTGCTTCTTCCAAGTTGACACAATTATCTTTCGGCAGAAGTACATCAGAACACGAGCTATCGCTGCCCCATTTTTTATAACATACTATCTGTTTCGAACAAGCAGTCGTATGACAAGGTATAGACATTTTTATGTATCGCACGTGCCGTCACTCGCTATACGAAGAGTACCGACTTCTTTCTATGCTACGGTATAATACACACCACAACTCGGGTTACAACTTACGTTACAATACATGCTACCATAAGGTTTTCCGTTTCAACAGTGTTAACAAGAGGTCACAGTAATAAAGAAACAACACGCACGCGACTCAGAATACTCTACTGAGACTAGTATATATTTCGGATAACCTCTTATTCTTAAAACTGTAACAAGAACTACATTCATAACTTCCTACACAACCGGTAGACGATTCACTACTAAATCCTATTACATAGTAGGTTGATAATAAGTAGTTACTGCGTCACGTCTAATGTGGCGCCACGTAGCGGTTAGTAAGTATGGTGCCATGCTGATCTTGAGATATTTTCTTGAAAAAAGGGCTATAATAATATGAAAAAGTGCGGACATGAAAGTTATACCAGCGCAAACAATTGAGTTAAAAAGAACAACGAAATTTAAGAATTTTTTGTGTGATATATGTACTATGTTTTAAATATTAGATTAAAAACTTGCATACTCACGATAAAAAAAAAAAAAATCAGCAAAGCATGACGTTAAAATTATGACTTCCGTTCCGGAACTAAAAGCAGTTAATTTTTTAAACAGAGAAAAGGGAAATACTGTTCAATATTGTGTTTACTCCGTATCTGAAGGGG